ATGTTGCAAGTTTTAGAAATTTCTCAAGAATTCGAGAATTCCCGGGAATTCCTAGTCGAGAATTCTCGAGTCCTGAGAAAAAAAATAGGTCAAGAAATCAGAAACCCTAGCTAGGCCCTATTTGTATATACTCTTTGCTAGTATCATAGTGATCTTTATTATGACCTTTATAAGATAAATAACTATTATATCTACATTATATGTTACATTCACTTTTCACTTACAGAAACTACCCTATTTGATTTTCGCATGCCTGGGGTTGTTGTGCCAATATCAAAATGAGACTAATCTGAATTTCCACTACCCTTTTCCAACTAGTAAGGCTAACTAAACATTTGGTTTGGTTCGTTGGCATGGTAATGATACAAAATAGATTTATGTAATTTAATATTAATAGTAAAATTTATGGTCTGTGCGGTCATGGCGGTTTAGAGGGAACTCGCCAGAGGGCGTTTTTGGTGTTCCACCCTACGAGAATATTTATTACATTAACGAGCAAATCAGTGTGTGGGAAATGACAGGTGATCCATTATATGGGGATATTTTGTGTTGTTAAATATTTCAGAATATTTTACTATCTCTCAAGAGACAGGCTAAAAGTGTATACGAGATGCCCGCGCTATATCTACTAAATAAAGGAACTTAATTTCCAATTTGCTGCAATACTTTCACAAATTCAAGATTCGCGATGTTCTATTATACAGGGTGATTTCATTTAAATACAGAAACTGCAGGACTAGTATAGATTCATTACCGAAAAATATGTAGAGTTTGCTCCATAAACTTTTTGTTAATGGCACGAGGTTAATATTACATTCAATAAATGGTCTAATTAAGTGAAAACGCTGTAGTGAATTTAATTCAAATCCTTCAGCGCATTATGAAGATGTGACAGAAAATATGTTTTTTTTTTAAACTTGAACACTCTGTATCTCGAACCCCCAGGAAAAAGTTTATAAACTCTACTTATTATTTAGCAATTAATCTATTCCTGCAGTTTCTGTATTTAAAGTGAAATCACCAGGTATATGTATATCTAATAAGTTTATTTTTTAGTTAATATGTTACCATAAACCATAACCTTTTCTAGTTGTTCTTTTTTTTCAATTTGGTACACTTGTTCTTAGTAACAAACTAAGAAATAAAAATCATGAAAATACTAAATATATTATATAAAATAATTAAGAAATCTTACAAAAATCCTTTTCTCTTAGAAAAAAACTCTTTTGTGCCGCCTTTAGAGTTTACCTTTTTTGCTTGTTACAAGCAAAGCAGGATTTGAACAGGAACAAAATTGTATACAACAGTAAACATTAAAATGTGCCTTTAATTATATTGAAATATTTATAAAAATGGTGAATTTTAAAAATAACAGTTTAGAGGGAATCGAATGGAAAACATCGTACTAAAATATCGCAATATTTTTTTTAAGATTGATGTTACTGGAAACAAACATTTAATTTTTACAGTATCCACAATATGTTATCTCGTAACATAAAGACTTAGGTACAATTTTTGGCGCAAAATCTACTTTTAATGATCAAACGGCGTTGAAGTTAATATTTAATGAGTTGAATATTAAAAACTGCAATAATTACAAATGTTAATGCATTTAAAACACTGTTCCAGTGGCGGCTCGTCGTATGAAGCAACTAAGGCCGGATCTCACTTTAAAATTTGGCACTCACATCGTATATTTTAATACCTACTAAATAAACTAATTTCAAATTACCTACTACATTTATCAAAAATCAAAATAACAGAATAAAATAATTGCTTGAATATTAAATATTTCGCCGCTCGCCGTTTCCATCGTCACGACGTTGGATACTGTTACCACAGAAGATAAAACAAACAGAATTATAAGTTGGCGTGGTGGGGGTATTCGCGCAGTTCGGTGCATGCACCCCCCACTTTTGGTATAGGAACAAAGTGGCGTAGTTACAAAAGCATTTTAGCCATTTTATGAACCTGTTTGTCGTTTGTTATCCCGTGCGTTGAGCATAGGCGTCGTTTTACGTGATTTATTGTGTTGTGTAAATAAATGATTGTTCGAGTGTATTATTCTATAAGGTACTGTAAAATTAAGGACAAATTAAGTATTAGAAAATAAAAGACAATATAAAAACTATGAATTATGGTGTTGAAAGGAAATATGGCGTTTCCTGATTTTGATTTACTTTTTTAAATGTTGGTTTACAACAATCTAAAACTCAAAATAAATTTAGTTTTTTTTAATTAATAATATGTTTTACAATTTACTGTTTAATGTGATTCGTAAAAAATTAAAATTATAGTCTTAAATGCAAATACTGTTGGTAGCTAAATGTCTTCAACCCATTCAATGGTAAAGTCCTCTTTCAATTTAATATTTTGTTATGCCGCTTTATGTGAGCAAAAAATATGCAACATAATTTTTCTCGAAAATGGTAAGTACATGCTACCGAATTTCGACAAATATACCTTTTTTTGTAGTATGCTTAGAGTTTACAGAACCGTTTAAAAATGTAATAAATTTTGATTTTTAACATATTTTTTTTATTGTACCCCTTTTCAAAAAGAAACCGTTTGCACATTATTCTTAACGCACAGTTGATGTTTACTCGTGTACAAATTTTTACATTTTTATCTTTAGCCTATTTAAAGATAATTAACCAACCATTTGGAAAGTAACAACTTCAACACACTGTATCTCAAAAACAGGGCGTGTAAGAAAAAAACGTTACATGAACTACCCCCATTATTTTACCAAGAGGAACTTACACACAAGTTTTTTTGAAACATGAACGGGACACCCTGTATATTTATGTACTGATAGATATATTTGTATATTATACAAATGTTTGTTTACGCAATTCTTTTAATTTTTCATTTTTTGCCTTGTACTTATAAATTTATGTTAATAAATATTGAATATGTAATTATTCAGTAGTTTGATATTAACTATATAAATATTTTTGACATTGAATAATTTCATTAATAGACTGGATTAACTTAAAATTAAAATAAATCTAAAATTCGCCTTTAAAAGACTTTTTCACCTAAATAACCAAGTCTTTTGCATGATTAACCTCATTTTCTGCTGCACATAAATTCCTGGCTTTTTTGTTAGTACATCTCTGTTTAGCGCAATAAAATTTCACTTAATGCATTCTTGACTTTGTATAGCAAAAGTGGGGGATTTACGTCATTCAAGGTCCCTGAAAACAGACATCAGTGATCAAAGGTGCCGACAACGAGATATAATTCTGGTTGTTTTATCTTCTGTGCTGTTACTCCCAACTAACCCTCACCACAGTGAGGCCAGAATTTCTTTGCTTGTAGGCGCGTCACACTTGCCTATAATATGCTAAAGTTCCCCATGTATGCGAGGCGGTTAAAATAACGTGATTTACGAGGCAACTGAGGCTCGCTCAAAGCTGCTTGTAGTTTCAGTTCGCGGTTAATGTACGCGTCGCATAGTACGCGGGTAGTGCCTAATGTCAGTGTGAGGGATAGTACAAAGGCTTTAAGGATAAGGACAAGGCAGGTATTAATTTAAAGCAAATAAAAAATAACTTCCTTACAACAAAATAAAGTAAAACTAAATTTAACGTAATTTAATAGCTACTTATTATATTATTATCAAATACCTACATAGATAGCTAATAATAATGACTCTATCTCACAATATTGTTTATTTTTTCAAACACCCTTTTCAAGACGTAATGACGTAAACTACTGTTCTAAACAAATTAGAATGACTAGTCAAAGAATTTCTGAATTAAGACACGAAGAAAAATTTAAAAATATGTTTAATTATGTGAAAAATATTACTGTACTACCGGACAAAAGTTGCGACGAATTAGAAATATTTTCGAAATATATTTCCCTTTAATTAAGTACCAACTCGTTTTGTTTTAATAGACTCCTTAAAATTTCCCGACTATGCAAACAAATTTCCCGAAAAATCATTCGAATGTTTATTACAAATAATAATAATAAAATGTCTTTATTGGGTATTGTATAAAGAAAAAATTACAATACTTAGTTAAGGGCGAAATTTAGCTTCCACTACTTGCTTGACCCTTATAAACATACTATAAAACGCAAATACAAAAATATATATATAAAAAACAAAAAAAGAATATAGAAATAAATACAATGGACGTCAAAAGCTAAAAAAGAAAAAGTAAAAAAATGAATTATATTAATATCTATAATAAAGAACAAGAACATAATAAGTTAAGATGGAAGATTACAAATATAAGATTTTACTTTTTTGCGATAGTCAGCAATAGAATTTTGTTTCAGTTTACTATTAATAGAGTTATAAATAGTACAAGCATTAAATGCAAAAGAGCGTATAAACATGGCTGAGCGAAATTTAGGTAGAGAAAGTTTGGATGGAAACCTTATATTGACATTATGAATTTCATCACGGCGTATCAGTTTTTCTTTAAGATATGGTGGGGAAGATGTGTGTAAAATTTGATTTATAAGAACACTAAAATGAAATGTGAAAGTATCACTGATATTCAACCAACCCAACTGTCTAATCTTTTCAGAAACTCTATCATATTTTTTTAAGCGAAAAACAAATCTACAATAGCTGTTTTGAATTTTCTGAAGGCAATATTGAGTAATTTTGTCTAAACAAGGAAAATATACAATATTGCAGTAATTTAAAATGGACAACACACGTAATTGAACCAATTTTTTTCTTAATTTAAAAAATGTATCCAAACGTTTTTGAAATAGATAGGGTGAAAACAAAATTAATATTTTGTACAGAGACGAACAATCTCATAATTTAGAAGTTCAAATAACGATACAAATATTATACAAGGAATTTAAAATGGTACCTATATTCGGAAACATACATTGTTTTGCCCAAATTTAACAATTTCTGCTCCAAGTGTTTCGGTAGAAAGAAACTTTTTGTGTCTTAAGCGCATTAAGACTTAGGCACCTACTTGAGAAATACGATGATACAAGAGCGCTTAAACAACTTATCAGTAATGACGATAGAAAAAGAGCTATTGCAAAGTTTTATTGCCGATCCTCAATTTTATGAAGACGTTATAAGTAAATTTACAAATTCAAAAGACGGACGAATAAACCTGTTTTATAAAAACATTCACTATATTTTTAAAATATTTCGTTAAAAGTGGAGGCAAATGAAAAGTTGTCGACGTTGTTTTATACATATGTAAATAGATAAGTTGGATGGCTTCCTTATGAAAATTTGTTTTCATAATTTTTAATATTCAAAAAGCAAGTAGGAACAATTTTGTTAATTAGTAGGTAAATGTATCACTTTGTTTTTTTTTCTGTTAGGTAATTAATTTGATTGTAAATACAATTTTGAAAGTTCTAATTTTATTATTAATAATATAATAATAATATATGTACTTAATTTTTTACTTTACGGTTATAGTAAGGCTATTCGCGAAGATCCCCATAATAAAAAATGGAAATTTATTCCTATTTATTATTTGAGAGCGGATTGATAAAATATCCAAATAGTTGCGTATTATTTTTTATAAAATTTGAATGAAAATCCTACTCGTGAACCTCAGTTTTTCGATAATATTTTAATGCAACTAAAAATGTTCAGATGCAATTAATCGTTTGACCTTGAAAATTTAAAATTTGTTTCCTGCTGCGCTTTTTTTTCTTTCTTGCCCACCTAGTAAAAAAGCCACGGGCCTCACCTATTCACAATGTCACGAGCCGCCACTGCACTGTTCATTTCTTCTGTCCATTCTGAGGTGGAATAACATTAACTTGGTATCCATTTTTCAATTATTAAAAATCCGTAATCGAAAGAGTATAGAGAAAATTGTTGTCATTTAAAATTGGTGGCATGTATCCAGAAAGAGGAATAAATTGTTCTTATTTAATTAAAGTAATTTTTTTCTACTTTTGTTTCAGGCACGTCGCCCCCCTCGAGCGACGCCACAGCCTCCGCGACACCGGCCAACGGCAGCCAGCTGTCGCCCAACTCAGCGGACAACGGCGGCGTGAACGGGGCCGCAGCGGCGGTGGGCGCGGGCGTCCTCGCTACTGCCGTCGGCGGCCGTAAGAGACCGCTGCTGGCGGGAGGACCCAGGACGTCCATGACGCCCACGAAACGCACCGTCATGAGCCTCCTGGCGAGAGCTCGCGCGGCGCAGGCCAAGCAGTTGCCCCCTTCCTTTCCGAGAGCCAATCCACTCCAAGAGTAAGTAGCTTTAATAAAAAAAAAAAGATAATTTAACACTTAAATATAGTTAAAAATGTACTAATAACACAGAAATGCTAAATCACAATGAATGCTGTTAAATGACTTAGGAATAGATAGAGATTTGCCTATTTTGTGCTACACTTTAAGATATATTTCATGAAGAGTCAACAGTATTTCAGAACAATCAGTTTTTATTCAGAAAAATAAATTGTGTTTCAGAAAACGGAAATAGTTTTTCAAAAAACATATTTGTATTTCAAATAGTTTCAATTACATTTCCAAAATCTATCATTTCACTTTCAGTTTAATGAATTTAATTTCAGAATGCATCAACTGTCCCTCAGAATATGCAGGTTTAATTAAGAAATATGAACTATAATTCAGAAACCTTAATTTGTATTTCGGAAAAGATCATTCGTATTTCAGAAAGCGTTAATTACATATGCCAAAACCACCACTTTAATTTCAAAAAGTGTTAACTGTATTTCAGAATAGTCAGTTTTAATTCAGAAAAGTAAATGGTATTTTTGAAAACGTACCTAATTTGTACTTTAGAAAACGTCCATTGTACTTCAGAAAATTTAATTTCAAATAGCGACATTTTTCAATTTCAGCTTAGTAAATTAATTTCAGAAATCGCTATTTGTATGCTCCAACAGACAGACCAATTCCAGAGAACATCATTTATATAGTTCAAAATAGTCAGTCTTCATTTATAAAAGTAAATTATATTTCAGAAAGTGTAAATTCTAGAAAACATATTTTAAATTTCAAAAAGCGTCAATTATTATACTTGAGTGAGCATAATTTCAATTTCAGCATAGTATATTTAATTTCAGGAGACGTAATTTGTCAGATCAGTCAGTTGAATTTCAGAAAGCGCGAAGGCCAGTTTTAATTCAGAAAATTTAATTATATTTCAAAAAGAGTAAATATTATTTTCAGAACCCATATTTTGTATTTCAGAAAAGTTTCAAGTAGCATCATTTTAATTTCAGCTTAGTAAATTTAATTTTAGAAATCTTCATTTGAATTTCAGAAAAATCTATACAATTTCAAAAAACGCTGGCTGTATTTCAGAAAAAGTAAATTATTTTTCAGAAAACATCATTTGTACGTCACAAAGTATCACACGTATTTCATTAGTAATTTTAACTTTTTCTACATATAAAGTAACAAATTACATATTCAATGAGACATATTAGAACATATACGTCTGCAATATTTGTTTAAGGTATGGTAAACTTAGGTATACAATTTTTAAATAATATAATGAATTAAATGTCAGTGTATAATAATATTTCCCATGGGTTGCATTCCACTAACTCTATTATTTTTTAATGTAGAAAAAAAACTGTTATACAGGGTGTTAGTAAATAAGTGCGACAAATTTCAGGGGGTGATTCTACATGAGAAAATAATGGCAGTTTGCTTATAAACGTATGTCCGCAAATGATTCGTTTTCCGAGATACGGGGTGTCAAAGATTTTCTTAAAAACTGACAATTTAATTTATTGCTCTGAACGTCGAGATGTGCAAATGAAATTTGGTGGGTTTTAAGAAGTAGTTATTGCGCATTTTTTTGACACGCAATTAAGAATTTTATGTTCATCATTGGCGCGCGTACGGGTAATAATCTCAATTTTTTTAAAGAAAAAAATGGTACGCCACTGAGATATTACAAATTAAAAAACATTTTTGAATTCCTCGTTCAATTTGTGACAAAAAATCTCTCTTGCCTTTTCTTCGTATGGGGCGCCGTTTTGATGCAAAAAAATTTATCTAATACAAACATTTGTTGTAGCTTTGCGCCTTTTCAAAATTGTATTAGTGTTATTTTCTGTTATTGTTCTGGTTTAATGTTAAGTATTGTATTAGATAGTTCTTGATAATATATTAAAGAAATAAAAAATACGCGTTAAAATGTTTTATTTTTTTCCATTAAAACAGCGCCCCACTGTCCAAAATTTTGTCCACCGACGTATAAACACATTTGGGCCCGATTTACCCAGTTTCTACGAACTAACACAAATGTTGTCTTGCTTTACCACAACACAAATGCTTCATAATAAATTAAAACGATATTCATCAGCTCCGAGTTGATATACACGTAAGCCATTTTTGACACTTGAAAAACTACTGTAAACACTATCGCAAAAATACTAAAATGGATTTCAGTATTCGGAATCGCCTGGGGTTGCGTTGAGAAAGATCGCACTGCGCACAGCGCACAACAGCAATGTAAAGGTTGAAAATACCACAACTCCAATATTTTTTTTCTATTCCCAATTTTTTTGGATAAGTTGTGAATCACCCCGTGTATAAAAGTTGTATGTGTTTTCCAAAATTTTGGCAGATCAAATAGAAAAATAGATCAATATCGCAAAGGTTTTAACTAAACAGATTTTTTTTTAAATTAAGTATTTAGTGAACTAAAATCATACAACAGTTTCAGGAAGCATGTAATCTAATATAATTATCCTATTGATCGCTTAAAATTTTTAATAACAATAAATATAGTGTCTTTATTTTACCCAAAAATGTATACTTAAATAACTATTCCATTTTAATTAGTACTATCTGTTCAGAATATTTGTTCCACTATTTTTAACACTTTTACCCCATCTCATTCAGTTTAAGGCGCGTCAGTGATGATACTAGTCAAAACGTGGACAAAAACTCGACTAACGATCTAGATAAAGATCACGTTCATTCACGCAAAACACGTAATAACAAAGTAGTGTATTAGCGCAGCTTCCTCCGCTCCAAACGTCTTTTACGGTAAAAAGTATCATTTCCTCATAGCATCCTCCTCAGTTTTATCGCCCTTAATTTATGGCTTGCTAAATAGAAGGCCCGAAGACGTGGTTTCTTTATAAATCGCCAACCACTTAACCAACCAATTAATGAGTAATTGCTTTGCGCCACAGCTAAATACAAGACAATTATCGTTATCATCCGTTTTCCAAACAACACCCGGCCCGGGCGGGAAAATTATTAAGATTAAGTGATGCAAACAAAAGGGCATTTATAAACAACAAGAGTCGATAATAAATGTGAAATTTACAACCAATCTTAGCTGTTCGCTTTTGTATCACGGTTATAATTCAGTGCTGGTAGTTCCGCAATATCATCAGTTAAACATCTAGAAAATATCTATTAAAAATTAATTGATAATAAAAATTTCAATGGCCATTCGATTGCAGACAAGGCAGTTAGAAACTGTGGTGAAACTGGTGTCAAATACAAATATCAAAAGAAGAAAAGTTCATTAAATTTTGCAGCACATCTAGTTTCATTATCAGACCATTAAAATGCTTCCATTTTGTAATCAGTGATCATTTCATTTTCAAAACTGGTTGCAGAATATATCACAATTGATTTTATAATTAGCTTTTGGTTGAGTTACCAAAGAAAGACTGACCTTAATTGACAAAATAAAACATTTTGGGAACGGCCGAAGAAGTGAGGGAACGGTACGTCATATTCGCACGCCATACACGAGTAACAGTATCGATATTGCCACCTCTTTCGTCAAAACATAAGTGAGATTCCCAAATTAAAGAATCACACATTTACCAAATACATCTTGTCGTTGTTTACTGGTATGTCAGTCAGAAGTGATATCTTCAACATCACTGATTTCTCTGTAATAAACTAGCTTTCTAAATATCCGTAGAAATAAAAGTCTGAAGGATTTAAATCTGGTTAATGAGAAAGTCATGACATTGACTTCTGTCTATCTACCAAAATATGAGGTAGAACCTCATCATATAAATATTTCTTGTAACCAAGTACCTACACAAGTCTACACGTAAAGTATAATTTCCGGGCAATTTTGTAGCATAGTATCTACTCTCCACATGAACCACATACTGTTCTTTTGTCAGTGCCATTTTTAAAGTACCATATTTGATAATAGCTACCTGTCAACGGTCTCGTGCCTTCAATGAGGTTGTATTGTAATGACAGTGTCGTAAATTAAGTAACCATTAATTTTTACCAGTTACCAGGTAGTAAATATCATCAACCAAAATTTTAAACTGGTTTCATTGGAGTGTAGACCAGGGCAGATCTGTTTTGAGGTGGATGTGAGAGGAGGCAAGCAAATTGTTTCTGTATTACCTTCAGTACAACTCACATAATAAAAGTGTAGATCCCTAGATCTGGGCGAGGTCCGGAACATTTTCAAAATTGCAAAAATGTTTAAAAAATTTTAAAAAATACTTATTTTATCTGAGTTTTTTACTTATGTCTTGGAACCTATGCATTTCGGAAGAATGTCGAAGAGGAAAAAAGTTTTAGAATTGAATTTTGCACAATATACTGTAAGTTAAAAATGTTTAAATTTATTACCGATGTTGCAAAATAGCAGTAATTGATGAAAAAAAAGCAAAATAATCAAGTTTTTTGGACAATTTTTTTTTAATATTTTAATTGCTCCGTGGGTATTCTAATTTTGGTAAAAAATACTTTATAGTATAATAAAACAACACACCAAATTTCATTAAAATCGGTTCGATAGTTTTCGCAGAATAATTTTTTGAAGAAAATATTGAAAAAAATTTTCGAATTTTCAAAATGTTGCACAGCCTCAAATAAAGCATCTAGATACTTGAAATTTTTTTTCACATAGAGAAGACTGCTCAACCTTTCAAATGGTTTCTGAAAAATTTAAATCGGTTGATTAGGGCGACCACAGTAAATTTTTAAAGTTAACACTCTTTTTTTTATTTGTAAACAATTAGATTACATTCATCAATTTGCAATTTAGTTTTTTCAAAAATTATAATTTTAAAGTCCTATTTTTTCTTAATTTTATCTGTATTTAACAAAAAAAATAATTTCCAAATAATTTTTTTTTAATTTGTTTGAACAAAAATATATTTAAATAATTGTAATAATTATAACTAAATACATTCATATTCAGACGTTTAAAAATATATACGTAAACAAATGTTTTCATTCAAAAAATGCAATAGCATAGGGTAAAATAT